CAAAAACCCACTTTATAGATGGTTTCCAGATAATTTAAAAATAAAAGGAGGTTTCTATATACTCACCCTATTTTTATAGTAATTTCTAGAAAATAAGCTCATTCTTTTTTTTTTTCCCTAAAAGAGGCACCATTTTAAGTGCCTCTGTAATAAAAGCGTTTTGTTGTTAAGACTTGAGAACTACTTAAAGATTGGTTTCCGTGGATCACTACTCACTGTATTAATCTCATAATTGGAGGTTCATACATATGTTGTAATTACTTGCGTGGTTGGTCATGTAATTAAGTACTAGTTGGATCGTTGGTTATTTCCAGCGCTTATTTTCATTTATTTTTAAATAATATAATTTACTCAATATATCATGAGGTAATATTTTCAAAAAAAAAATGTCAAACAAAATATAATAACACAATACTAGTTGATTGATAGATCACAAATCTCATTTTCACAAGTGCTCATGATATTACGCATAAGAATAAATCCGTTATATTAATGAACAATGGTCTTTTATACGACGCCAACGACAATCATTATTAGCAGAAAACATTAGGAACAATTAATAATGTAATTAGTATTTAATTATATGATCAGTCATCGAAATATAAATATGAACATCCAATTATGAGATGACGACATCAATATTGTTGACTAGCCTAGCTTATCTCCGCCAAATAAATTCTGCAGACGACAACTATAAAAACTAGTTCAAAATTTTCTTTTTTAAAGAACATATCCGCAATTCTTTATGGGATGAGATTCATATTTAAGGCACCGACCCCTAGAATCCAACTGATAAAAACACAAGGGAAATGTGTTGCCAGAGAGAGAGAGATGAGGTTTGAATAAAAGAAAGGAAAAATTCCTTAAGGACCCAAAATATGGGACCAATAGAGGGGACAAGTGAGGTGTCCCCTTCCTATTGGATAATGAGTTGTCATTAATGATGGCCAACTCATTATCCAATAGGAGGGGAACACCTCACTTGTCCCCTCTATTGGTCCCATATTTTGGGTCCCTGTAGCAAAGCTCAAAAGAAAGAGGTTCACCTCCAACTAGGACGCATTAAAGACTTGGACGTTAACTCTCAAATCAAAACTACTTCCCGCTTTTAAAAAGAGTGAATTAAAAGGCAACTATAAGTAATCCAAAAAAATTGTCCAGGATTAGTTACAATCCGCTACTTTGAGATATGTTGTTAGAGCAAGTGCAGCAATCTCCTAGTAGGAAGCTCTTGTTGGAGTGCTCTCAAACATGGGGCCTACTTAGGAGCTTCATACTAGGAAAAATATTCCAATAAACTCCTAACTAGGAGCATAAATATTATTTGAAAAATCTATTCTTCTACCTCTAACATTTTATAAATATTTTTTAAAATAACAAATCTAATAAAAAATATTTTTTAGTGGGCCCCCACCCCTTAGGAGCTCCCAAGTGCTCCACAAATTTGTGGAGCTCTTAGGAGCTCCGTGGTGGGCCCCACCGCCAACTAGGACTTGAGAGCTTCCTTGGGAGCTTGTTGGAAGGTCTTGAGAGCTTTTTCTTGCCACATAGGACTTAGGAGCATTCTTAGGAGGCTGCTGCACTTGCTCTTATTACACCTGTGATCTTAGAGTCTATGTATTTATAAGAATAACCATGAGGTCACTTATTGTAATTACACGAATACCCTGTGAGTTGTTTGTTTGTTGTTCCGGGCTGCAAGGTCATCCGTGTAATTATAATTATAATCACTTTGTCACCCGTGTAGATACACAAACTCCTGAATCACCGGCGAAGTTAATGTTTGGGTAAGACACAAAGAAAACAAGAAACAAATACTTGCAAGTTCCTGCCACCTGAAGATTTACAGGCATTTGCAACTTGCTTTCTTAGAATCCGATATACTCGAAAATGGCCACGAGTTTGTCATTAGAAAACAGTAACCAAAGCCGAAAAAGAAAATGGATCGATCCAGAAGAGACAATTGAAGGCCGGATTAGTGCGAGTCTACAAAAATAAGACTTAAAATAGGAGGTAATTTAATAAAGAGAGAGAAGAAGAAAAAAAAAAACTTGCCATTTTTTTATGCTCCATCGCCGGCCGCCAACTCGCCCTTTGAATAGCGGTAGCAGATTTCTCCAGTCAATTCGGCCTATGGCCCATCAAGAGTCTGGGCCGAGCAATAAACAAGTTGATAAAAGAAAGCATTGAGCTTGTAGTAAGAATGTGCGCTATAGGGCCGAAGTCTTGGCTGGGCCCAAAGGCTTGCCCCCATAAATTTCATCAACCGCGCTACTGACTACATAGTACATACGGTTTTTCCGATCTAGGCCCTGATAAGTAATTGAAATTGATATTAGATCCCCTGTTCTTATAAGTTGTTGCCAAATTAACGTACTCCCTTAAAAGTAAGTACAGTACTATGGACTTCTCAGGATTATGCATGCCCCCTTCATCTGAGTACAAATCCAATTTTCAAAAGTGCAATAAGGGCCTGTTTGGGTGATTTCCTAAACTCAAAGAAAAGAAAAAATAGAATAAGGAAACCATCAAAAGTTAATTTTCATCTATTTCCTTAAAAAATAATCATGAAATGAGTTTACTTAAAAATAAATTACATCATCCAATAATATGGTGATAACTCATCTCATCACATATCTTTTCTTAGTTTTAAGAAGTGAACCAAACACAAGAAAAAAATCTATTGTCAAAAATATGTTTTTTATAATTGGTTTCTTTGTTTTTTTTAGCCAACCAAACAGCCCCTAAGCATCCTCACGAGAAGAGAAAGTTTGGCTTCCCCACGAGAAGAACCTTCCAAATTTAGGCCGATTATTTCGGGCTTCTGCCAAATCACCCACGGCCAAATTTGAGCAACAAAGCTAGGTAGATATAGGGAGTAAAAATCCTCCTCTTTTTTTTACGGGAATAAACACAAGATTTTAAAGGTCATGTTGAAACCTCCCACCTCCCAACTATCCGAGTCATCGCGGTTACCAGTATCATAAATAATATTTCATTTATCATCCAAGAAAGTGTGAAGAATATGACTGTGATGGCCCTTCAATAAGAAAAGTGGACAAGAGGAAACCCCATCACAAGTAGCAATGAATATAAAATCTTAGAATGGAAAATGATCACATGAGCATATCAGACCAACAAATCACATTAAATAGACAACTCCGAAGCGCTACTCCTAATGATGGCTCATATAATATCTTAACAATGGCTCTTGATGGCGATAAACGTACACACACACAAAAAAAAAGGTGCAATTCCAAATGTAATATCGTGAGATAGCAATATTTTCCTCATTGCTATGAGCACTACCACATTCCCATCAAAGATAATAAGATGTGACTCGATGAAGTCCTGAACACTAACGTAAAAATTAGACAGAAAAAACCCAAGTGCTCTAATTCTACAACTTTTGCCGACCAATATTAAACAAACTGCAAATAAATAAATAAATAAAGATGAGCAATTGCATAATCAAGAAAATGAAAGTATCTACTAAAGTAGGAAGGGTGATCCTCAGTAATTCAGTTTCTACCTTTTTTTTGCCCCCTCCTTTTCCCCCAGAAAATAGCTACAACTACTAGGATACACAGTATCCACACTCCAATCAACCAAACTAATTACTTAAATGCATGATAGTGAAAATAATTATGAAAACCACAACCAGTAAGTACCATCAAACAACAAAAACAAACACACAAAAACTTCAAAAAAATGTATCCACTCGAGACTAAAATGTCAACATGAAATATGCGGCTGCATCTAACAGTTGTAGATACCAACAGGAAATAAAGCACATGCCCAAACAACAAAATTCTATACTGCATGTAGACAAGAGAAATAAATTCAAATCTAATATCTTGCAATCAATAAGTCTTCTGCATGATCGGTAAGCATGCACGTGCTTTAACTGCATAAAAGAAGGATACTCCAAAGAGCAAAGATTCAATCAGAATATTCCATAGAATGGGGTGATCTATACCATCCATGTTTAGAGGGATAGTTTGGGAATTATAGTTATTCTACCTATCGTGTAAACCATCCCACTGCTCTAGAAACCAAAATCACAGCATATAATAAATCTAACACCTGAGCTCTGCATAAAAGAAGGATACTCCAAAGAGTAAAGATTCAATCAGAGTTTAGAGGGATAGTTTGGGAATTATAGTTATTCTATCTATCGTGTAAACCATCCCACTGCTCTAGAAACCAAAATCACAGCATTTAATAAATCATATAATAAATCTATACCATCCATGTTTAGAGGGATAGTTTGGGAATTATAGTTATTCTATCTATCGTGTAAACCATCCCACTGCTCTAGAAACCAAAATCACAGCATATAATAAATCTAACACCTGAGCTCCGCATAAAAGAAGGATACTCCAAAGAGTAAAGATTCAATCAGAGTTTAGAGGGATAGTTTGGGAATTATAGTTATTCTATCTATCGTGTAAACCATCCCACTGCTCTAGAAACCAAAATCACAGCATATAATAAATCTAACACCTGAGCTCAAGTCACGTGACCAAAGAACTGGCCTATAAATAAGAGCAAAGTTGAAAGAAAGGCCACCCAAGGGCTTAACTGCCTTAGCTTAGCAGCACCAGGTACTAAAGTGATATGGAGAAAATAAAAGAAGAAACCAGAAAGGGGCCATGGACAGAGCAAGAAGACATGCAACTGGTATGCTATGTGCAATTGTTTGGAGAACGCCGTTGGGATTTCATAGCAAAAGTATCAGGTTTGAGGGGGGGTTTTGGAGCTAGACTAGCCAGCTTACAAAAAAAATATTAAAAAACTATAGGCTACCGCCATTAATTTGAAGGTGATGGGGGAAAAGGAAGGAGATTAAGCATTTAACACAGTCCATACTAACATTGTTTGTAGGTCTCAACAGAACTGGAAAGAGTTGCAGGTTACGATGGGTTAATTACCTGCATCCTGGCCTCAAACGTGGTCGCATGACTCCTCAAGAAGAGCTCCTTGTCCTTGAACTTCATGCTAGCTGGGGAAACAGGTCAGAATCTAGATCCTTCATAGATATTTTATATATGTATGTATGCATGTACATTGCCAAAAAAACATATAGAAAACAGTTGAATGAAGGAAAAGAAAACAATATTAAAAAAATATATAGAAACAATATTAAAATATATATAGATGCAAGAAAACATAGTCTAAGATTTAAGATTTTTAATCAGAAAGGTATCAACCATAGTAACCCGGTTGTTCCAGTTCACGGGATGGGTACGGGACTATGGTTACGCCACTCATTAGAAATTGCGTACAAGAGGGGGTATGCTCTTATATGGTAGCCAGGGAATGTGGTACGCTTTAGGTTCAGTTCTTAAATATAGTAAGTAGAGGTTTTGCGAGAGTCAAACTTAAGAGATTTGCTAGTTGATTTCAGTAATGGTAAAAGAACCTTAAGAATCATATTGCTATTAAGGTATGCATGCTTTATTTGCTTAACTTCTCATATTTTTTTGTTGTTTATTCTTTTAAAAGAGTTTTTTCCCTAAAATTTTAACTGGTTTGAATTCCAAATCGGATCGCTGGAGTTAGTGAATCAGGTCATGTTTCACATGAATCTAGGACGATTGAACCCGGGTCGCGGTTCCTATAGCGTCCCCCGTTCCCAACTTCTATGGTATCAACATAATACTGATATGAGAAACCTAAAGCATTACACAAAGAAATAAACCTATAGATGGGGAAATTTGTTCTGAAAAATGAGGGTAAGCACGTAACTTTTGAGTAAACTAGTTTTTCAAGGGTACATGTTCCAAAGAAACTCTTCTTTCTGTTTTACACATTTAGACAAGGATTACTTTGTAGATGGTCTCGTATAGCTCGAAAGTTGCCAGGTCGCACAGACAATGAGATCAAGAACTACTGGAGGACACATATGAGAAAAAAAGCTCAAGAGAGGAAAACAAACTCGTCTCCATCTCCGTCTTCATCATCTATAAGCCACATGTCTTCTCTCAATGAGCTTCAGTTGGAAGTTAATGCAGACAAGCAACGAAGCAGTTCTAGTCCTCTAAGAAAAGCAGGCTTCGGAGATAATGAAGAGGTTTTGAGAGGCTATTCCATGGATCAGATTTGGAACGAGATTGACAACGAAGGCAGCAATATACTCTTTCCTGCAATGCCTTCTCCTATGTGGGACTACTACAATCCTGATTCACTTTGGAAGATAGATGCTGAAGAGCCTAAGATTTCTCCTACTATTAGCTGTGGATTCCTGGTCTCTAACTACTGATTTGGTGGAGAGCCTTATGGTTATACTTAGAAGTCACCAAACGCCAATAAACATTGAGCAAACTAACTATAACTTCTAAGTAACATGGAGTTGTTCTTCTTTCTGACAAAAGTGTGTGTGAGATAGATCCTGTGCTGGTGGTGTCTATTTGTGTTCCTCCAATATGCTAGCGAAAATTGTCATTCTGAAGAGCCCTTTCAGCAAAAAATGAGGCTT